TAATAATAATAATACAAGAAGAAGAAGAAGAAGAAGAAGAAGAAGAAGAAGAAGAAGAAGAAGAAGAAGAAGAAGAAGAATCTGGTCAGCCCTTGTTATATCGAAAGGTTTCTGAAGGACCAAGGCAAGGTTAAGCCCCAATTGGAGACATGACTACAAATGTTATACTTAGAGTAGCACTACTGAAATGAATGTGACAAAAGTTGTGATGATTAATTCAGAAATAAAAGAGTTCTTGGAAGTTGATTTCTGCTGTAGGTGTGATGAAGTCTAGATCTCCAGGCGTTGCACAACAAAGCACAGATTTCATCAAATCCAGACATTCTGATCATTAGCTTTGCTAGGTGACTGCAAACATGGGCAAGTCAAAACATGTCAGCATTCATAGTCTTCAGAATGTCCCTTTTCGATGGGCAGATGTCTGCTGGTCAGCCCATGGAATGAAATGGCTGGACCATTTTTCCAGCTTCCATATAAGCAGTGCTTGCATTAGTTCGTGAGAACCAACATTTGGCTTTGCAAAATGCCCAGTGACATCACCTACAAATCTTCATAGGGCTGCATGATCTCAAGAAATAACTTTGAAAAGCACCAGGTGTTTGAAACCTCTGCCCAGATGCCTGACACATTCTTTTATATACACACAGCGATGTAACAGTGCAACACAGAATTACCTCTGTGCTGGACTTTGAGCTGATTTAAAGCCGACTCAGACCTAAGTGATTTGTACCTCACATTTCCCTTTAAGTGTTGTTCACCAGAAGGTATGTCAATGTGGAGGAGGGCATGACCAACAGACGTGTTCCTGTTGCCTCTCCTGCATTCATTTAATACCTAAGGTTTGTGTGAACACCTGTGTCAGGTTTGATTTGAGCCTGGGTACCCCTCCAAAGACTGAATTCAAACCCGGGACTCAGTTTAGAGAGGAGAGACAGAGTCACGGGCGTGGCAGAGATTTACAAAATTATTCTTGATGTAGAATAAGTGTATAGGATGAAATATTTGTTTCCCTCTTCCCTCATATTAAAAATACATTCATAAAATTAAGAGTACACTCAGAACTAGTAATGAGAATACTGTTATTCACAACATAGTTAAGTTAGGGATTTTATTACCATGACATGTGATGATGGCCACTGGCTTCAATAGTTTTTAACACTTTATTTAAGAAAGCAGATGTTTATCATCAACTATTTGCCCATGGATGCTCCATTAATGGATGCTCAATTAATGATGATTAATGGAGCATCCATCATCAGACCTGGGTAAATGAGAACAAGCAATAGAGCTGGCTCCTAGGATGGAGAAGCCTATATTTGTATACTTATACCACAGTTATTGTAGTTGAAGAGATGTTTGACTGGACTTACCATTTACTCCTGCTGAGGGTGAGGCTTCTTGTTTACAGTCACCATAGTGAATCTTCATACACACTAAATACACAGACTTTTAACAGTTGGGCAGGGATATTCACATTAATAACAGTGCCATATTACACAGCAAGATTTCATACACTTTTGTTTTTCAACAAGGAGGGGTGGAGAACTCAGCATGGGGATGCCAGCTAATCTAGCGACCATACCAGGTAACCTTGACCTGGAGGATGAGCTCAGCTAAGGAGAAAGTGGGAATGAAGGTTCTTTTAAAGGGCTGTGTTGTGCTAAAATTCTTTTGCAACTTATTCACACCTTAGATATGGGTGTATATTAATATAAATAGAATATAATATTTATATAAAATATTTATAAATAGAATATAATATTGTGCTACAGTGTAAAGTTAACTTACTGCACTTCTACACAACTAAAACATACCTGTCATTTTAGGTTTATATATATATAATTTTTAGGTTTATATTTTGGGTTTATATATATATATAAAAACCTAAAATAAAAAGACTGGTATGTTTTAGTCGTGTAGAAGTGTAGTAAGTTAACTTTACACTGTAGCACAATCAGCTACCCAAGTTGTTTGCCAAGCATATTTCAAAGAGTCACGTTACTCTTAAGTAATTTGTTTGATAAACCAGGGTTGAATCTTTCTTTTTGCTGCCACAGAGTGCAACCTAGTCACTTCTGGAGAAGTCGCCTTTGGGGAGTTCTCTTCTGGTCCTCTCATGAGATTGTTCTGTTTCTCATAAAAAGAGAACCAACTACACACTGTGGCGGCTGCCATGTACAGGCCTCTCCAGATTGCTGCCTTTGGCAACTAGGACCATGTGGTGAGCTGCTTATGTGCAGAATCTCACCACAGATTCTAGCTCCGCCCCCAGCACCACCACAACACCACAAACACCCCTAAGGAACTACATGGGCCTGTGTAGAGAGGCACTGCTTCTGATGAGTTCCTCGTCTGGTAACAGCAACCACATGGAACAATTGCTGTAAGCTGGTGTAATTGCTCTGGTAAAGAAACACCGTGGACCACTTCCAACCACTGGTATAATACCAGGACAGAAATATAAGACATTTGCCGGGAAGAAAATAGGACAGCGTCTGTTTCGTCTTTTAAGCTCTTGGGCCAGTGTTTTGGCGAGCAATCCATACAACCTATCTCAGTGAAAGAGAGAGACTACTAATAATCAATTTCTTGTCTTTGGCTGTTTTTCCAAGTCTTGCTGCCTGAGGCAAAGGAGAAGTTACTCACTTCCATTCCATGTACAGAAGCCAAACCAACTAGCCATTGAGTCATACTTCAATACTGCCACCAGAGCAGCATCTTCTGCCACAATTGACGGCAGCAGACTTGTTTAGGGGGCAATGGGTGGGTTGTGTGCCACACACAGCTTTGTCCTCCAGCATCATCTCATTCCTCCTCACATACAGATTCTGTTGCCTCACTCTGCCTAATGATAGGGCTGATCCTGGCAATCCGGTTGACAGATATACTCTTCAAAACGTTGCCTGAATTGTGACCACTACATGGACCTTTACAATAGTCTTCACAAACATCTACGTTTCAGTAGCTCCAGAGATATCCAACACATGTAGAAACAGTGCTGGGAAACAAGAGGGTAGTATGCATCCTGCTGAGCAACTGATTCTTTCCATTCAGTAGAAGAAATATTTGATATTTATCCCATTTGAAGATTTAACAAGGATATTGGGAAGATGCAAGCCACAGAGACAGGCGAAACATTAGGAAGAACAACCTTCAGAACACGGCCAAAGAGCCTGGAAAACCCACAACAACCAACGATATTGGGAAGTCTTTGGTCCAAGTCCGAAGCCTGAGTTAAAGTCTTTAGTATTAATACTTGAGTCCCAAGCCCCAAGTCTGAATCCCCATTAAAAACAAGCTGAACAGTTGTATGTATTCTTCCTTCCTGCCACCTCTCCTTGCCCTGCCCACCCTTATGCTCAGAGTTATGGACAATATGAAAAAGTGCTGAGCCTGCCTCATCTTCCTTCACTCCTCCACCCCCACCCTCTTGAAAATTCTCTCTTCCCATCACTACCTCCTCCTCCTCTGCCATTTGCCTGCCTCTCCGGCATCTTCTGGTGAGCATTACAAAATTTCTTCTGGGTTTATAGTGTCTTTCATTAAAAGAACAGGGACTCTAAAATGCAACTCAGAAAAATTAGTTTGAGTTGGGCGTCAAGTCAGAGTCATTGAAAAAAAAAGACACCAAGTTGAATCCGAGCCGAGTTGCCGGTGCAACTTAAGTCTGACTCAACAGTGAGTTGTGAGACTCAAATCCTCATCCCTGGGATTTAAATGATGAAGAACAATCCTTAAGTCCACCATGGGCTAATTACTTAGGAACTTCAGGATACAGTATATGTATATTTCAGAACAAAATGTTTATCAGTGGTGTGCTGTATGCCGTACGGTGAAAGGTTCTGCTCTGATATATTGTATTTACATTTTCCTAATGTGAAGCCAAGCTGTTCTCTATCTTTTGAAGAGCCCTTTCCAGCATATGCTGCAACAACGGACTGAGAAATATAATGTTACTTGTATTTAATGGACTGCTGATATTGTTTAACATGATGGACTTTATATGTTGACTTTTTCAGCTGACTATGGCATAATGAATAACCATGGAGTGTGAAAAGAAGTAGTGACTCAATAGTCTCTGAAAGCCCTTCAAAAAGTGAACAGAATGTGACTGCTTCTTTTTATTGTCATAAGAATATATTTACACAGCAATAGGAGGGTTATTATTTGGGAAGGCTTGTGTACAATCTTATTTAATCATTCACAGTCCTTAAATCTAATAACCTATGAAAATTACTTTAGCAAGTGGGTGTGCCTGAGGTAACTTGAATCAATTTTTATTGAATTCTTCTCACAGAATCAGAGCTATAAACTTGTGAAGCCCGTTGTAGCACCAAATAAAAACCAAAAGAGAAGTTTATAATTGCAAGTAATCATGGTGACAATTGATTTCTAAAGAATCATGCTGGATATGAAACCTGCCTGGAAGCTTCACATCAGCAGTGAGGAACCACTGGCGTTCCTGATATTTCACTCTACATGTTCCATCATTCCTTACCATTGGCCATGTTGCCTAAGACATCTAAACCAAAGGTTTCTCTTATCAGCTATACACATTAATCTATTAAACTCACACTCTGTGTATGGCTGTTTTGTGTCAAGTGAAATCACACCCTCCACCTGCCTAGAAACGCTGTTCTTTTTTATTTCAGGGTGAGCCTCATAATCACAACAGAAACAGGGCTTCAGTCCTTTCTCAAAGTCTAGTGCAACAGACAGTGAAAAGCATAACCATAACATGAAAGTAACAGAATTTAACTCATACAAAAGATATATAACTGATTTCCCCAAACTGGCAGCAACCTACAAAATTTACTTTGGTCTAACTATATTCCAGACATTTTCCATTACATTTGATTAATTGTGAGAGTTGCACAGGAGTGTCTGCTTTGGTAAATCCTACCAAGTTTACTAGCCTTAACAACAGGTTTGGACATCTGTGGCAAAAAACATAGTCTCATCAGCACTGTTGTTGTTGTTCATCACTGTCATTTTTATTTATTATTCATTCATTCATTCATTTGATTTATACCCCGCCTGTCTGGCCCAATATAAAATCTAGGCGGCTTCCAATATAAAATCAGATAATAAAAACATAGGCAAATATACAGTGGTGCCTCGCTTAACGAGCACACCGTATAACGACGAAATCGCATAGCGATGCGGTTTCAGCGATCGCTAATGCGATCGCTTACAGATAGCCCCAATGGGCGAAACTAGCATAGCGAAGGTCGGTAAGCGTTTCACTTACCGACCTTCGCTTTGCGACCCACAGATCAATAATAATCAAACAACAACAGCAGTAAAATAAAGAAGGAAAAGTAAGAGAGAAATCAAGAATTGGCTGGAGGGAAGGCCTGGATAAACAGCCATGTTTTTAGTTGGGTTTTAAAGATGCCCAGCGTGGGGGCTGTGCAAATCTCCGGAGGGAGATTGTTCCAGAGGCGAGGATCCACTGCTGAGAAGGCCCAGTTTCGTGTTTTCTCCTTCCAGGCTTCTCTCGGCGTCAGGCTCCTCAGCCTCACCTCCTGACTCGTGCGGGTGACCTGGGTAGACCTTGGTGCCAAGTGCTTTAAGGTAGTCCTGAAGGACCATTAAAGGAGAATACCTTTATCCACACCTGATCTTGTCTGCCTTCAGAAAATAGGTGGTATCAGGCCCAGCTGGGCTAGCACTTAGATGACAAACTACCAGGAAGTATAAGGGACCCTTTGTCAAGACAAGGAGGGAATCTTGCCTTAAATGCTGCAGAGCTGCTGCCGGTCAGAAGAGACAATCCTAGGTCATGTGGACCAATACTCTCTGACGTGATTGACCAGATTAAAAAGAGAACAGTATTTTTGTACCTTTAATAGTAGCGAGGTAGAGGAAATTCCAACAGGTGTAGTTAGTATGGAAAGCTGCACCTGTTGAATTTCTATCTTCTATGCCACTATTAACAGTACAGGAACCTTGTCTTCCTTTTCAACTGGCTATCTTGTGCAGCAGCTTCCCTAACGTTATTGACCATATTGTTTTCTATTATGAAACATTTGATTCTGTTGCCACATCAATGGAAATTACTGCCCAAACAGTAGCTGGTTTTACTAAGAAACATTACAAGTTTAGTAAAAGCAAATGTATTTGGATGAGAGATTATTCTATTCTGGGCTCAAGTTTGTCTTAGAAAAAATTTTGCACTGCTGAAGGGGAACCATTACATTCAGTGGAAAAAGTTCTTATTATACATAGACACATTGTTTAATTGGAGTTAAAGTGGCCATGTGTTTAAAAAAAAAAGACAGAGCTTTCTTCCCTTTAACAACTTTTTTTTGTGGAAGAGGAAATTTTGGCAAGTGAACTATACAAGCTCAAATTCTGTACAACACTGCACTCCCCTCTTTTTAAATGTGGTTACCCTACCTGAAATCTTTACCACAAAATTGTGGGCTGTTATAGTAATAAAGCATTGTGTATTCCGAACAGGCGTGGTTGTTAAATGTTTATTATCAGGTTTGCCAGAGCCTAGTTTTTGTCTGTGCTTACTGGGAGTGTGTGTGTGTAATCGCCTGATCACAAATGCCACAGATACCACACTGCAAATGAAGATACAGTATAAACAGTTATATCAAGTGATGCAGGATGTACTCATATTGATAATTTCTGTCCTGCTTCCTGGAAAAAGTCTTAGGCACTGAGGTATGTCTGACTGGAATAAATAGTTTCCTGTGACTTTCTATAGCACTCTCCTCTTTTCAGGGATGCAAAACTACAGCTCTGTACAGTTAACCCTTAGAGTTAAACAGGCAGAGCCTAGTTTTTGTCTGTGCTTACTGGAACAGAATGGGCTTGGGAGTGTGTGTGTGTAATTGCGTGATCACAAATGCCACAGATACCACACTGGAAATGAAGATACAGTATAAACAGTTATATCAAGTGATGCAGGATGTACTCATATTGATAATTTCTGTCCTGCTTCCTGGAAAAAGTCTTAGGCACTGAGGTATGTCTGACTGGAATAAATAGTTTCCTGTGACTTTCTATAGCACTCTCCTCTTTTCAGGGATGCAAAACTACAGCTCTGTACAGTTAACCCTTAGAGTTAAACAGGAATGTGTGCCAAGGACAATTTTCCTTCCACTATTTCGGCAATGTTACCTCTTGTATAGCTAAAATTAATGGCACTGAATGTTTGACTTGACCAGTTTTCACACAACCCCAACTAACACAGTAGATTATTTCCTATTTGATTCAGTGGAACCCACACAGTAGATTATTTCCTATTTGATTCAGGGGAACCGTACAGGGCCAGATCTCCTCACATGCCCACATACCAAGGCCCAACTGCTTGGTTGACTGCTGAAAGTGCGTTGAGATTGAGATTGAGATTGAGAGAGTGGGGGGGAGTTATTTCAGCAAGAATTCCTTGAGATTGGACACAGGACTAAAATTCTCTAGATCTCTCTGCTCAGCAGTGCCTTTCTTTGGATAGTCTGATATGTCCTTTAATGCATGTAAAAACTTGCCCCTCTTCAGAGTCCTTGACTCTCCTAAATCATCCAAACCCACATCAGCTCGGACAGCCATTCTTAACCTTTTTTTTTTTTTTTGCCAGAGCCATAGACACAATATGAAAGAAATATAGGCCAAATCAGGATATTATAAGTCACATAACAAATTTTATAAGGTGGTGTCTGTAGAATTGTTTCCAATCTGTGGCCCCCTTTAAATGTGCTAGCCCCCAAGGGGGTCATAGCCCCCCCCCCCAGTTGAGAATGGCTGGGCTAGAATTTCCAGATAGCCAATGTGTACACAAGCAAAGCAGTGTCTATTGGGAAAAGTGCCCACATAATCACTAAAATGAGGAAGATGTATTTCTGTGGTCAACCTGGTCCATGTTGTCCATTGGAAATGAGAAGTTTCAGCAACCAGGAAATGACTGGTCCACATGTATATAAATGAATCTCCCTGTTACACAAATTGTGTTTGCTTGCAATCATTATTCTGGAACAATCTGGAAAAGCTGATTAAGCAAAAAGTCTTAGTTTAATATATGAATGACCTGATGGTACTATTGATTCTATGTTGCAACATCAGTGGAACTTTAAAAATTCTACATCCCAGGAAAGAAGCACCCCTGCTTGAAACTAAATATTCAGCTTCTGGGTAAATAATTGTAGTGTCCACATGCTAGAAGCAATTCTGAAATTTACTTCTGAAATGGAATGAGTGTAATCTTGTGGGCAAGAAGATATAAGATATTCCCTACTCAGAATTGAAAATCAAATATACACAATAAAGCGGGGGGGTTCTCTTTTGATCAAGCATAATTTCTTCACGTACCAGTATATGAAAAGGGTGAGGGAAAGAAATCTCAAAAGAAATATATACTGTATAAAATACTGATTACTTTCTCTTTTCCCCCCATATTACCCGCATCATGTATTAAGAATGCATTAGATTCTCCTAACGACCCACACTAGTTACTAAATTAAATATAAGTTCTTTGGATATTATACTGATAACTTTATATAAAAATATATGTATAAAAATATAGTGTTGAAATGCTGCTTTCTTAACAGCTACATCTGAGAAATATTAAACTCAGTGGACTACAGCACATGAAAACCACATAATGGTAAATATGCAGAAACCACATTGCACATTTGCCAGCATGAACGATATCATCATCAGAATTCATTCTGGGTTTTGGGTTGTTGCTTTTTTCTTGATTCTTCTTCTTCTGTTTTTACAGTTAGAGCCCATGTTTAACATTACTTTCCATATGAACATATTTATAAGGCAAACCCCCTTACGTTACTTTCTGTTCCCATGGCAAAGAAATCCAGCACATGAAAAGCAAATAACAGACAAAACAGAAATCTTGAAGAACAATGAGAAGGCAAAAATAGAAAGACATAAAAAGGATGCCAATTTTTAAGACTGTTCAACAAAGCAGGCCTGCCTTACTTACAAACCGATCCTTGTCATTGCTTCTTTATGTTTGGAGTTGACAAACAGATTGTTTTTCAGCTGCCTATATAATAATTTATGTAAATACACAAAGAAGTGGTTATTTGCAGATAAAAAATCTTGAGCTAGGATTCTAGCTTTAGAAGGGAAATGATGTGTCCGAGGGCGAGACATCTATCCACATTTTAAGGAGGTGACAATAAAATGAAGATATTGCTCTGTCTTTACCAACCTGATTGTTGGTGGCCTGCCCTTAGCAGAGTGAGGAGGACACTTATCAGCTGGAGATTTATAAAACTCATTAAGTATGCAACTTCCAATCCATATAGTTGCTAGATTGTGCCTGAAATTCGATGGATGGTTCAGTGACTGAGTTACCCCAGGCTTCTGGGGCTTCCATTGTGCTTCTCCAGGCCTTATACAATATAAATACTTCTGGCGCAGCAAAAAAAAAATACTGTAGTCCGACAGGTAACTGAGAGCTCATGGTTCTTAGTGGCTAAGAAGGTAAGCCAGTCCCCAGTTCCAATCATTGCATGGTGACTTTAGGTAGGCCATTGTCTCTCAGCCTTATCCAATCTGCAATCCCAAAGCTGCCATGACTCTTTTTCTTTTAATCCTAATTGTTCTATAAAACTAATCATTTGTTTATGGGTGCATAGCTGTTGGAAGGGTTGCCAGGCCAGCAGTTTCCCATTCCCTGACATTTTGGGGCCAGAACTGGGACCAGAAGAGGAAAGGTCCTTGCAATGTCACAGAAGGGGACAGGCAAGGGTTGGGAGAGCAAGACTGCTTTTGAGTGAGCTGATAATGGAAATGGGCCTGAGGGCCATCTGGGCAAATAGGCCCAGAATCTGGACAAAACAGGATTAATCAGATAAGACAGCAACTCAGAGCCAAAGGGAACCTTTTGTAGCATCTGGGCAGGTGGCAAAATATGCTCAGTGGCTTGCAGTGGTTGCCACCATTTTACTAGAGCTGGTGTCCTACATGGCATTACCTATAGCACACAAGACCTATAGAGAGTCTTTCCCAGGTCCTATACTGCTGCTGGGAGTAGCAGAAGGGACACGGCCTGCCCGTTTCCCACCACTTCTATCCTTTGAGTTGCTCATGCCAAGGCTCAAGTCTCAGTTTTGGCACACTGCTCTGCCACATTCAAAACAGTAAAATGGACCCCAAATTGTTCTCTCCCCTGGTCTGCTTCCTCTCTGCCTGGCTTTAAAGCCACCTCACACAAAAAGCACACCATCTGTTCAAACACCACTCAGTGGAAGATGTCTGTCTTTTCCTAGAGAACTGGAGAAACTTGGCAATTCTCTGAGGCTTCAGCCACAGTCCTGAGACCAAGCAGTCCTACATACAGTACTGGAGGTTTGACACCTGAAGCTCAGTCCATAATGGTTCGTAGAAGGGGGAGCAGCAGCTGCTGCAGCACACAGCAAAAAAAAAATAATAAAAATAAAAAAAGAAACAAAGAAACGAAAAAACCAACAAAAATAAAGGACAAAGAAGCAAGAAACAGTATTTGCGGATCTATAGTAGATCAGTCTCTCTTCTTGGCCAGAAAACAGCCACAGGGCACGTATTTCAAGCTGCAATGTAGTGCAGCGAAGCGAGATTAACATGCACCTCTGATCTACCAACCCAGGTTAATTTGAACAACAACCAAAAATGATGTCAGCCGCTGCAGTTGCAGAACTCTGACATCATATTGCATCTTTTGTGGCTCTTAAGAACGAAAATGGAACAGATCTGGTGCTGCAGTTCTCTGTATACAGATGTTAGAAGGACAAATCTGGTTCTGTTGATAAAAAGGCAATGCCTGCATTTAAGCGCATGCTGCATATACTGCTATTCTGATATGTTGTAGAGTAAAAGTTTTCAAAGTGGAATGGGATTTTTCTTTACAGGTGACATATTATAGCCTGTTTTTATATTTGAGCAGTCTCTAGGAAATGCCTTGAATACTTTATATATATATAAGCTCTTTTCTATCATATAGCATTGTATTTACTTAGATGACAATTGTTTTAATGCAACATTTTGAATAACTTCTTCCCACCATCCTTTCTCATACTTCTCTTTCTCTCATTTGGAAACCACAGATACAAGGGAACACATCTTGATTTTATAAGGCTCTGTGGAAACAGCCACATGTCTCGAGTTAGCTGGTCTATTCAGCCACATGGAGAAGTATGTAATAAATCTAGTATGGTCCATGTGGAATCACCATAGGGAAAAGTGTAGAGTCTGGAGGTCCCAAGTTCAGCTGCACAAAATTATGGTCCAACGACATGCCTCTCATTTGCACAGATCCTGCTGAGGAGTATTTCTGAATAAACCTGATTGATTGGACCTCTCACATGATAAGGGGATTGAGAATTGGATGCATAGGCTTGCAGTTTCATTAGGTTGCTTTGGTTGTTGAAGTATTTGCCCAGGGTGTAGGACCTTGACAGTGCCATTCCCACGGGAGAGTTTCTGTCAGATGTTTTTGAATTCACCACCTGAAAACGGAGAAGGAAAATTGTTGTGAAAACGTCATGTTGATGCTTCTGGGTATCATATCAACCATTTAAGACAGAGGTGGGCAAGCTACGGTGGGGACAATTTCTTCCTGCCAAGGCTCACTGAAGGCTGTATTTCCCCCAACATCCCCCCAAAGTGGCAAGAAGTCCACTTCCAGTATCCAGAAATTATAGAACTGTAGACTGGAGAGGGTCTCGGGGGGTTATTTAGTCAAAATGCCTACTGATACAGTAAATAAACAAACATACACACTTTAAAAAGGAAGAGGGGGCTGTGCCTTCTTTGACATGCAAATGCTGTTTCTGGAATCTTCCAGGAGCAGCATCTCTCTCTCTCTCTCTCTCTCTCTCTGTCCTTTTTAAAAGAGAAAGGAGCCCCAAAGTTCTGAACGGGCGGCAGAGGCTTTCCCTATATTTGGTTGGGCCTCATCTTTAGTACTGCATCCAATTCTAGACACCCCTCTTTAAGAAAGATGCCAACAAACTGGAACAAGCTCAGAGGAGGACAATAAGGGAAAATCAGGGGATTGGAAACCAAGCCTTATGAGGAAAGATGGAAAGAACTGGGTGTGTTCCTATATTTGGTTGGGCCTCATCTTTAGTGCTGCATCCAGTTCTAGACACCCCTCTTTAAGAAAGATGGCAACAAACTGGAACAAGCTCAGAGGAGGACAATAAGGGAAAATCAGGGGATTGGAAACCAAGCCTTATGAGGAAAGATGGAAAGAACTGGGTGTGTTTAGCTTTGGGAAAGAAAGGCTGCAGGGAGATATGATAGCACGCTTTAAATCCTTGAAAGACTGTCATATAGACGAGGAGGGGCAGAATCTGTTCCCACTCATTCCAGAGTGCAGGACACGTAATAATGGCCTAAGTTATAGGAAGTCATATTTCAGCTGAGTATCAAGAAAAACTCCCCAACTGTTTAGAGCATGTATGAGAATGGAACCAATTAACTTGGAAGGTGATGAGTGCTCCAGTGCCGGGGGAATTCAAAAGAAGGTTAGACAGCTGTCTGTGAGATATACTTTAACTTGGTTTCCTCCCTTGAGCAGGGGGCTGGAGTTGATAGCCTCATACCCCCTTCCATCTCTATCATTCTATGATTCCAAGATAGCATCAAGGCAGCATAACTTCCACATCTAGTTTAATGCATAGCCAACGATGTAATGCTACATTAAGAGAGAAGACTCTGACCTCAACCCCATCTCAGCATAATCAAAAAATGCAGGCAGTGGGATGAGGGCATATAAACAAATGATCAGCTAACTGTTTAATAACCCATTCAGGACCAAAGCATCTTCACATACTTTGCATTGAAGCTTACAAAAAATCTATGCTCCTGGATCATTCAATTTCTTTCCCAGCTACTCTGACAATTGCAGCTAAGTTGAGAGGAAAGAGGAAAGCTTGGAGGTGAGTGGGAGTATACGACATTTTTTTCTGCTGCTCAGAAATCATGGGATTTCAGCCTTGCCAGTCCTGTCGCTGCTGTGCCTCTGTGCATGAGAGAGGAATGAACACATGATTGCTCTTTGATTCTTTGATTCTTAAAAACATCTCACAGTGCAATCCTGTCATGCTGGGTTTTGTAGGAACAATTTACAGCTAACATCGCTGTATTCGTAGAATGCCAGGTTGCCCAGTATTAAGTCAGAAGAATTCCAACATCTTCATAACTAGGTGATATAGAGAGAGGGAATGGATGGCATTGGAGCTGGCAATGGGGAAGGATCTGAAGAGGGGTTAATGTACTTTAGAGCCTGTTCTCCTTATGAGACAACTTCCTTTTCCCCAACCAGTGCCAAGTTTATACACTTATATGGGAGCCAATATGCATGTATGGGTATATACATTGCCTCCCCACCCTGTACGGATAAGTTCCCAACTCACTTGCAAGAGTATTTTGGTTACACATAAAATATATTACTGCTTTTCATCATACAAATAATCCCAAAATGGGACACACTGTAATGAAACACAATAAAACTGTGCAATCAATCTACTCATAAAAACAATAAAAACAGGAGCAAGCCTCTGGTTCAGTTGAACAGCAGCACAAATCACAGCCCAATACGGGAAGTACTTAAGCCCACAGAAAGGAAAATAGCTTATATATACTGAGATGCATATGGGCTTGGGCTACAAGGCATGACGTCACCATCATATTTAAAGACCCATGAACACACCACTGGGGATTACAGTGGTGGTGGAAGAATTCCCCACAGCTGAATTGAATAACAAATACAGGAAGATTGATGTGAAAATATTCACCAGGAACCTCAGCTCCAGCCAGGAGAAGAACAAAGCATTGTGTGCTTGCAAGCAAGGGAAGGGGATAATAAAGGAGGGGGAGAACACACATCAATACAGGACCTTATCACCCCGTTCTCTTTAATTGACAGGTTTGATGTAAACCTGGAAAGGAATTGTTAATCCAGTTTTGCGTAAAGCAGTTGTAAAGAGCATGAAGACTATAAGTATTTGTCAGAATCTATGTAAGAAAGAATGTAAAGAAACAAATTTATACAGCTGTGGTGATACAAGATGTCTGTATCAGCTGTAAAGAAAAATCTAGGATTGGCTGAGCCAGGAATAAAGTCAGCAGCCTCAGCACACACACTCTTGTGGTGGTGATGTGGTCATGTGGTAACGTGATGTCGTGGAGAGAACTTGGAGAAGACTCTGACTGCTGGACTGACTTACATGGACTCTGACTACTAGACTGATTTACAAGGACTTTGAATTGATTTATGCCTAAACTCTGTTGATATTGCTGTGAATGACTATTTGGACTGAACAAGGACAAAGCTGTATGTATGTATCCTGCAACAAACTTGATTTAATATAATTTTCTGCTATCAATACTGTCTCTTCGCTTGGTGACTTCATCAATCTGGGAAATTCTACTTGTTAGTGCCACCTGGCATGCTACAACTCTGTCAGGCAGGAGGGGCAATAGCAGAGACATAAGATGGGAAGTTAGGAAGGACAGGGTGATATTTATTTACAGCAACCCTCTAGAGCAGTGGTGCAGATGTTCCTGGACTACAACTCTCAGAAGCTATCACCACTGAAATCTTGGCCAGGATTTCTGGGAGTTAAAGTCCAAGAACATCTGGAGGCCCATGGTTGCAGATCACTGCTCTAGAGCAGACCTTGGGTCCCCAGATGTTCTTGGACGAAAACTCCCAGAAGCCTTCGACACTAGCTGTGTTGGCCAAGATTTCTGGGAGTTATAGCCCAAAAACATTAGGGACCCAATGTTGGGAACCACTGCTCTGGAAAACAGCCTCTCTCAGTCCAGCATTACACGGGGGCACCTGAAGCTCCTCATCTCTTACTACATGCTTCTGCAGCACTGTCATCTCTGCCAAGTAAGGAAAGGAGGCAGGGGGTACAGTTTGAGAGGTGACAGTAATATAGCTTCTGGGGAGAAAGGAAGTTACCAGAAACCAGTATGTGGGCCCTCAGAAGGTCTTCTCCACTTCAGATTTCCATCCAAACTGGAGAAGCACTTGGACACTTAGAAAACACAACTTTACATCACTCTCCCCTGCTGAGGTAGCCCTTCTCCTATCCCTATGACAGAGACAAGGGCTGTCCTCAACTTTGGTTTTCTATATGAAAAGAGGCTAGCAAGTATGTGCTGAAAACAGTGCTAACAATAATTCAGAGTCTCCCTTTGAAGTACTGTAGCAATATGTGATGACCTCAGGTGCCCAAGGCAAAATATTTCCTTATTTGCCTCAGACTGTCCCCAGATAGGGACAACTCTGCCCTGCATGTGTAGCATAGTACCTTCATAAAGTAATCAGAGTAGAAAATCTTACTACTGTTTCCTTTGTTAATGGTGACAAACTTACTACCTTTGAGTAGAGATGTGAATTTGTTTTTACTTCCTTCCATCTTTAGATTTTTGCCCAGATTTTGGAAAATTCTGATCAAAAGTGAACAGAACTGAAATTCTCACCCATCCTATTTTTCAAAATGTAGTCTTTTAAATCTGTGTTTTCAGCCCATCAGATGTATATATTTCTTAGTGCTGTGCATTTTTCAAATATACACAGGATTTTGTGTATTTTTGGTATATATTCCCTTCAAACTATAGATCTTTTTAACACATTTTTTCAATTGATAATATATTCTTAATGCTGTGCACTTTTCAAGTACACATAGGTTTTGTGTGCATTGCCCCCCACAGAAGTATACTGCAAGCCTAAAAGAAAACAATATAAATGTTTTGTTCTAGAGTTTTGTTGCTTCTATGCATCTGCAATGCAAATGTTTCAATAATGTGACATTATAAACCATGTACATTATTCACCAAAAGAAGTATTAATAGCAAATAATTACCTCATGAAAATGGCATCCACATTTCCCTTGCAAAAATTCCTTGTACCGTCCCATAGTAATAATGAAAGTATCAACCACTTCATAGCCATATTGTTTGGCTGTATTCAAAATAGCTTGATTTTCATTCCACAAATTCTGCACTTGTGCCTAAAAGTTAAACATTATCTCAATTATTTACATTTCTTGGTTAAACAGAGACATAGTATCACTGAGGTAGTAGGTCTATAAATAATATGTACAGTAATTTGATTGCAAAGAATAAAATATTAATACTGTACTATACTTTCATTGTTTGAAAGGTTACCCTTTCCTACCACAAGCAAATTAATTACAAGAATGTTTGAGGTGTTTATTTTTTTAACCTAACAAGTTACTGAGAAAAAGAGAGAATGAATGAATGAGTTATGGATGCTAATCATTCAGCCTGTCAGGGAGCTTTTTTACCTTTTACCCCCCAAAAAATTTATATGTGCCGATATTACCCCCTTGATTTGAAAGGAAGGAAATCATACATTACTTGAATTCAAAATATTATTGAATCTACACAGGCTGTGTACCAAACTAGCAGGATATATCATCAGTATCAATGGCTGCCAGGCTATGTACCAAACTAGCAGGATGCACCAAATTTAATAAAGATGTGCACTATTTTTGCTGGAACACATTGCACTCCAGCCATGGGGTGGTATAGGGAGTAGTAAGGTGTCCAACGTGCCTAGCAAGTTGCATTAAATTTTTGCTTGCTCGCAAAGGATTTAATAATCATCAGTGGCTGCCAGAGTGGTGCCAGCAATGACATGCTTGCCAGAGACAGCCAACACAGAGTTGGGGGGGGGGGCTTTTTCTACCACTTTAATCATTTTTTGTGTGGGGGGCAAAAAGGAACAAACTAGGCAAAGGTCATGTCACCCACCCTGGTGCCACAGCCCAATATCAAGGGACCAGTGCACTATTTTTTTTATCATCATCAATAGAAAACTCAGCAGTGGTCATAGGATTGAAAAAGATCAGTCTACATACCAGTCCCAAAGAAGGGAAGTGCCAAAGAATGCTCCAACTACCATACAATTGCACTCATTTTACATGCTAGCAAGGTTATGCTCAAAATCCTACAAGGTAGGCTTCAGCAGTATGTGGACCAAGAACTCCCAGAAGTACAAGCTGGAT